TTCTTAAGGTGAAGTCAACATTACCAAGGAACCATTAGAATTAAGGGTGGATATTGGGGTCCCTTTGGTAGCTTGCATAAACTCTCGAAATACGCATCTCTGTCGGTTATGTGGTAAATATTTCCGGTAGCTCATATGCTCTTGTTGGCATAGCTCCCGCTGTCACGCTGTGGAGCTCTCCATTTCACTTGTGTCATTGCATGCTTTTGGCCCAACACTGGAGCCGGCTTTCTAGAATTAGGCAAGGTAAGCCCAACTTCGCATATTCGTGTGACTGGTCCCTCAGTTGTGGCTTGGCTGGAAGGTGGATGATGTTCGCCTGTCATTACCTGAACAATCAGGATGCAAGCTTGCACACAGAAACAGACACAGGCACAGAAAGGTCTTGCCGGCAAAGCCAGGGAGCTCAAGAGTCACTCTCGTAGTGTTCATCACAAGTGACAGGCAGATCTTGAACTGGGAAACAGAATGCTGACAGATTTCCGACGTTGAAATTTTTAGGCGCTTCGCACCGAAAACGAGGTGCTTTAAAGTTGCCTCCCTAACTGACCGGGAACCACCAAGCAAAACTCCAGCGCCACACGTTAGGATCATCCCCCAAAAAGACTAAATCTTAGGCTTGCCCGAGACTAACAAGATGACCCCTAGGATGATGAAAGATTAATAGATTACAATTCTGAATCCAAAATTGGTTCCACCTGAGGCGGGGCTGCTTCTTCGAACAAGAACTTGTCCAATTGAGAAATATTCTATAATATCGCTCGGAGTATGAATACAAGTCTCAGGAGAAACGTATCTCCTAATTTTCCGAGAGTCTCAATTTGCAAAAATTATCTTTCAATAGAGGAAATGCTAGTTTCCTAGAATAGGGGGGGGTCTCAATATAGACCCCAAATTCTATAATTTTTTTAAAAAGGGAATATAATAAATAAGAAAAGTGTAGGGCGGGAATATTGGAGAAAATATAAATCTAATAAAATTTGATAGCTTTCCTAAAATTCATTAATTTCGGTAATGAATAAGGCGAAAAAAATCTCTATTTTTGATAAGTCGTCGTATAGTAGATCGAAGAAATTAAGATGTCGTACTGCTATATATTGACTATTATCTATTTAAATTGGTTCTTTCTGAGAAAATTACGATTAATGAATTCTATACGGAATGGAGAATAATAAGATCGAAATCATGAATCTATTCTATTTCTGAATTTATTGATTTTATATTATTATAGAATTTCATAATATAATATGCAAATATAATATTAATCTCGGAGGAGATCCCAAATATCATAGATAGAATATATATGAATGAAAATACGACTAAATATGAAAATCGAGATTCATCATTATTTCGATTCAAATATATAGAGAATATATAATAAGAATCTAATAAATTATTAAAGATAGATATCTCTATCTAAGATATTGACGATTAGATTCTTTCTTTTTCTTGATTTCGATTTGATAAATGATTTGATAAATTCATATATCATAGAAGAATTCGGATAAATAATATCGATATCATAAATTATCCTCGAAATGAATTCAGAAAGAAAGATCTTGATCTCATATTTTAATACGATATATTTTGCGACTTAGAAATTACGATTAGAAAATAAGAAAATATATTTTGATTCCGGATTTAAATCATCAAATTTCGAATTAAATAAAATGAGAATTTCTTTCATAATGAATAGATGTTCAAGGAGACATCGGAGAATATAAGATCTAGGGCTCTTCTACGACGGATATATCCCCGCATATTTGATAGGGAGATACTAACGTCCATTTGGGATCTATTTTATCTTATGATTTAAATTTTTTGGTCCTTTTTAGAATCCTTAGAAATCCTGCTAATTCGTATAGAGGAAATAGATCAAATCATCTCTCATATTGCCGTTGCGGAAGGCAAAGAGATACGATATCAGATCTCCAAGCCATATATAAAATCCGTCGTCGCCTCCCGAATGTCCTGCAATCCAATATCCCGAAGAAAGAAACAACAAAATCGACCATAAACAAGAGAGAATTCAATGAAATTTCAATCCTAGAGCTATTTCTGCAATTATATTTCATATATCGTTTCCGGCCTGCGCGGGGAAGGGGGGGGGGGGGGGGG